ACCTCCTCCCCTCCCTCCCCCTCCCTCCTCCTCCGCGTCTTCCCTGTCACCCTCCGCTCCCACGCCGCCCACTGGCACGACCTCCAAACCTCCCCACCCTCATCCTGGGCCCAGTTCGAGTCCTCCTTCCTCCGCTTCTTCCTCCCCCTCGAACACCTCCACCGCGATCTCCTCACACTGCAACAATCCGACAACGAGCCCTCCAGCATGTTTTATCTTCGCATGAAGTGGAACTTAAAGAAGTGGCCGGACCACGGTCTGTCGGATGAAACTGCTGAGGGGGTGTTGTGGACGGGTTGAGAGAGGATGTAGGATTGGGGGGGATCTGGCTGCAGAGGCCGGAGACGCTGGAGGAGCGCGGCCAGGCTGGCGGAGAACTGGACCAGCGAAGATGATGAAAGGGAAGCTGAATGCGAAGTTCGGGTTTTGAGATGCGGGGCAATGAGCGAAGGCAGGTGTTGAGGTGAGGAGCGAAGATGAGGCGAGTTTGTGGGTGAGGAGCGGGAGCAACAATAGCGGTAGCGTAGGAATTTCTACCAAGGAGGAGGGCGGCAGATCTGCAGGCGCTTGGCAGTTATTTCGGGCTGGTAAGGAAGGTTGGAAAGAGGCCAAGATTTCGAATAAAATCGAGAGGAGCGGTAGCGGTGTTAGGACAGGGTATAATAACGGAGCGTAATATTGTTGCTCTTGTCCTCAAACGTAGGTTCTTCATTTGATCGAACATCATTTCTCAATTAGGATGATCGATGTGGATTACGATTTTACTTACGTAAGCGAGAGTGGCCGTAGGATTAATTTTGATCCTCCGTTGGCTGAAGTTGATGGTCGACGTGCAGAGGAGGTTGAAATTTTTTCTTTTTCTGTAAATTGTTCTGTGGTTTAAAGTAGTAGTTGATATATATATATATATATATATATATATATATTATTCATATATGAAGCAAGACGCTGTGTATGTAGTGAGACGTCGCCATTAATTTGTTTGTTTGGAGTGAAAAACACTATATAGTTGTACACTATAAACTCTATATATATATATATATATAAATATATATATATTATATAATATATATATAAGCAAGACTCTGTGTTATGTAGTGTAGACGTCGCACTTAATTTGTTTGTGTTGGAGTGAAAACATATATAGTTGTACACTATAAACTCTTGTGGATTTCAACTTTGGTTTTCCACTGTCCATGTTCACATAAAATATGTGTCGGTCACAAGGGTTCGGGATGTATATAATCTGAGATTGCAATTACGGCGTGTACGATTCGGAGCATTTTGCTGGCATGTAAGATGTGCTGCTATCATTTTTATTTTCATAAAAAATAAAAATGAAAATCCACTCTTTTCTTTTCATATGTTCATAAAAACAAACCATATTTTCCAATCAGCAGTAAAACGACCGCATGCTACTGTTATATGTCGTGCTTTACGTTTGTTTAATGCTATTCTAATTTCGCTTTGTACGGATACTGGCCGACTTAGTTGGGTCTTCCACTTTACTCGATAGAGTTGGGCCTTCATTTGCCTAACCTAGGCCTGTCAAAAGATATGAAATTCCCTTTTTCCTTTTTCTTTTTTAACAATTAATTAAGCATGTTTTCGAAAATACAACAGTACTAGCACATACCACTATATACATACACATACATCAGAATACATCACAAAAGTTCACATAATCGAGCAGGCATTAGGATTGTCATCGCTAAACATCGCTCCCGCCCTCTCATCCACTGGCGCCCTCTGGTAGTACCCATGCATGTACGAGTCATCGTACCCTTTGCGATAGTTATACGAAGACATAGATGCGTACGAATACGGATAGGCACCATATGGTACATAATGATTTTGCGAATGACTGGCGTGATACTGATTGTAGTAATGTTGAGTATTGTATCGGTTGTATTCTTGGTTGTATTCTTGGTTGTATTCTCGGTTGTATGGATACGGCCAAAATACAGCAGTTCTACCGGTCTTTCGTACTGCTTTGAGTACCTTTTTTTGGTCAAGCCAACCCCCGGTAACTGTCACCTTTTGTGTCACCATGTTTATGTGCACCTCGTCAATACCTACAACAAGTTGGAGGATGAGCTCAATCCGTTAATTAGAATTTAGAACGGCAAGTTTAACTTTTAAATTTTATAAAGCTATACATATTATCTTATCAACCATAGTAATTCATATGTGTACTAGCTAAAATTGAAGGATATTGATAATTCACGTGTATTAGCCAAAATTCAAAAAGATTTTCCATCTGTGAACACTTGTTTGGACTAGATTTAAATTTTCATCTTTCCTTCTTACAGAGATGCAGACGAGTTATATGCTATATGACAAAATTCACCAAAAAAGGAGCCTCATGGCAAGGCTGAAATTAATTCATTTTATTAAGATTTTGACTGTAACAGAACTAAATATAAATATCTCACTAATATCTAACCAATATTTGATGGTACAGCTAAATTTTGAATAATGAATAAGTGATATAAAGAGCGCCTCTGAATTGACTGAATAGAGTCATATATCTATATTAATATCTATGAATTTTAAACTTAGATCTTTTCAAACATCTAATAGCTAGAGAAGTAATTAGTACTTTTTTCCCCATTTTAGGTGGATAAACACTACTATGATTCTATTCAGAGCAGTAATTAGTGACAATACATACCTTTAACCTTCTGAAGCGCCTTTCTTATTTCCTTCTCACACCCTGGACAATCCATATGCACACACATCTCCACAATCTGCTTGCACCAAAGCAAAATTAAGATTCAATCAAAATGAAAAATTAGACAATTTATCCAATATTTAGATTGTCGTTATTAACATTTCTCTTACTTATAATTATCGAAGAATATCTAGCAGATTGTGATGCATTTATAATATAACTAATTATGTGAATTGTACTTATTTTTATTTTGTTTAAGACATAAAAGACATTCAAGCATTTAGTCTCTTCTCTATTTGGATGGGAGCAATTAGAATAGCAAGTGTTTCTCAAAAAAGGGGGGGAAAAAGAAAAAGAAAAAAAGCAAATATGTTTATCTTCTTTAATTTCAACCTCTATTGTTGGAACGAACTCCAACTTGAGTTATCAAGTAGCAGTAACTCGCTTATTTTACTTCTACAATAGCTGGTCGGAGTTGCAATTGCAACTGACAAACAATCAAAGTATATATACTTAAAATTTTGGATATAGTTGAAACAACCGGAACTATAACTATTCCCAAGGAAACTTAATAAGAGAGAAAAAAAGATCATACCGTCATTGTAGGAAATTGGTTGCTCCTCTCTTAATTTGCCTCACTTGAACTTGAAATTTTAGTTGTAGTTCTTATCTTTTTATAGTTAGCTTCTTGCTTCCCTTGTAACTTAAACTCTACTTGTCTATTTATAGAAGGAGATAGCGCGTATCGGGCAACCTTAAAAATCTCCTCAAACAGCATTAGTCAAGGTACTAAACAAAAAAGTCGTGTACCCCCAAGGGCCCCACCTACCTTTAAACCCTATCTCAAGAAACAACTCCACCAATTTCCCATGTAGTGGAAACATGTCATCCAATGGGGATGTGCCACGTGTGAGAGCACCTAGGGCACTCTAGCTAGTGAGCGTATTTCCATGGAGATGTATTGAGGGGCTGTTTGGTTGTTGTTGGTAAAGTTGTGTATTTATGACACAACTTGGAAAGTTGTTATCCACCTCATCAATTTCACTTTTATATTTTTCTTTGTTTGTTTTTTATTCCATTGAAATCATAAATTGCTTGTTTGGTTTACAAATATAACTTTAAGGGTCCGTTTGGCTAGAAAATTTTTCCCTTGAAAGCCTGTTAAAAAGTGACACTTTTGGCAGGCTTTCAAGAAAGTCTTTCCCTCAAAAACAGGGAACCAAACAGCCTCTAATTGTTTGTTTGGAAAGTGTAAAAAGTGGTCACTACTCAAATGATCATATTGGTTAGAATTATTTTTTATTATTTTTTCCTGACTTCAATGTCAGCTTTCTCCTAAAATCATGTCTTTTTTTATGAAATAACTTTACAAGCCACATCAGCATATGAAATCAATTTACACTATTTTCATAACTACAAACAAACAATTTAAAGTGATGAAAGCTGACACTGGGACCCATTTTTTTACACTTTTCATCCTTTTACATGGTAAAACATACAACTAAATAGCCCCTAAGAGAGCGAGGGGGAGCAGCGGAGCAGCATTGAGCCCCATGAAGGTGAAGGCTACAGGCCTACTGCTACGATATATTAGAAGTTTGCTATGCGTTTGTTATGCGAACACGAAGCATCTGTTGGGGATTCGAAACAATCAATCGAACCCTTGCCCTTCCGGACCTTGTGTTGAAAGTAGAAAAGTAGATTCGAAACAATCAATCGAACCCTTGCCCTTCCGGACCTTGTGTTGAAAGTAGAAAAGTAGGAATAAAACCACAAATAAAGATCTAACTTGCAAAAAATAGTAAGGGAGATGAACACACAGATTTAACGAGGTTCGGCAACGTGCCTACGTCCTCGGGATCCACACCACACAATCTCTTTATTAATTAAAGAAGAAAATACAAGCTCTCAAACAAAGGGTTAATCTCTCTGAGATTCTCTCTCTTTTGCAATCAAAAAGCTCTCTTTTTGATGTCTTTCAAACCCTAAAATCGTTTGGGGTATATATAGAATCCTGAAACAAAACAGAGTCCCAAACAGTTTAGGAAACTGTCTGGATGATTCGCGGTCGACCGCCGTGCCAAGGCCGGTCGACCGGCCAGAGAAAAAAGTGTTTTACAGGTCCTGTGCACATTGTGCGTCGACCGTATCAGCCACGCCGCGTCGACCGGCCAAGCCGACAGAACTTCTCAGTTTCATATGCACGTGCACTGCGGTCGACCGGATCGGCACTGCGGTCGACGCACAGCTCTTCTGACTTGTTTATATCGTCTTTTCAATTGCAGCTTCGGGTTTCTACACACTATAGACTAATAATACTACCCACTTCGGAGACCCAAAAGCGCCACAACGAGCATCACCCGAAAACTCTCCCCTGGCTTCGCATGTAATCTTTTCCTTGAAAAAATTCTTCTTCAAGCAACATCCCGGCGATCGCCCGCCGATCCTCGTAGTGTGCGCTCCCCTCGTCTTTCTACCTCGTGAAGGCCAACTGAAGTTGTGCCACAACTCCAGATTTCTCAATGGTGACTGCCTTCCCGTCAACATAGTCCGCCGGATTTTGACTCCCCAAAAATCTTCCATTAAATGCACACTTTCCGTCCGTCGCATCAGCGAGCGTATAAAATGTATTTGGACCACGATTGCTGCTTGTTCTGGACCATGATATATGATTCTTGGCCAGATGATTATAGCGCCTCTAGCTATCAAAAAATAAAAAACTCCTCCCCTTGGCTTTAGATCCAATCTTCAAGCACACCGTTCAAACCAGATCATGCTCCTTGCTTGCTCAGTCCGAGGCACCATGGACATACTCAGCCTCGGTTGTAGACAAAGTTCACATATCTTCTGCAGACGTGAGACCCAGCTACGCTGTCGACGCCTAAAGCGTTACAACATTACCCCGTGGTGCCTTCGCCTCGTATCTGATCCCGCGAATCGCATCCACCTATCCTGCCAGACCAACTCCTTCCTCCTGAAAACAAGTGGCTGTTCGTTGTTCCCCTCAAAGTACGCAATATCCACTTCACGCGCCTCCTACAGTGCTGACTTCTCCTGGATTGCTTGCAAATCTGCTCGAACAACTCCCATTCCAGGGCGAATATCCGATCTCTCTCTGGTGTCGACCGCAGCAGCCACGCCGGTCGACCGGCCAGAGCGACAGAAACTTCTCAGTTTCCTGCAGTGCACGCGGTCGACCGGATCTGGCACTGCGGTCGACCGCACAGTCTTCTGACTGTTTATATCGTCTTTTCAATTGCAGCTTCGGGTCTACACACTTAGACTAATAATCTCCCACTTGGAGACCAAAGCGCCATCAACGAGCTCACCCGAACTCTCCCCTTCTTCGCATGTATCTTTTCCTTGAAAAATTCTTTCTTCAATCAACATCCCGGCGATCGCGCCGATCCTCGTAGTGTGGCTCCGCCTTCGTCTTCTACTCGTGAAGGCCAACTGAAGTTGCGCACAACTCCAGTTTCTCAATGGTGACTGCCTTCGTCAACATGTCCGCCGGATTTTGACTCCCCAAAATCTTCATTAAATGCAACTTTCCGTCCTCGATCAGCGAGCGTATAAAATGGTATTTGACATCGATGTGCTTCGTTCTGGCATGATATACTGGATTCTTGGCCAGATGTATAGCGCTCTAGCTATCAAAATAAAAAACTCCTCTCCCTTGCTTCAGATCCAACTCTTCCAAGCACCCGTTCAACCAGATCATCTCCTTGCTTGCTTCAGTCACCATGACATACTCAGCCTCGGTTGTAGACAAAGTCACAATCTTCTGCAGACGTGAGACCCAGCTCACTGCTGTCGACGCTAAGGTATAAACATACCCCGTGGTACTTCGCCTCGTATCATGATCACCGGCGAAATCTTCCTCCTGAAACATAGTGGCTTGTTCGTTGTTCCCCTCAAGTACCGCAATATCCACTTCACGGCCTCCTAATGCTGCTTTCCTGGATTGCTTGCAAATCTGCTCACAACTCCCATTGCATGGGCGATATCCGGCCTCGTGCAAACCATCGCGTACATGAGACTCCCAATGGCTGAAGAATATGACACCCTGCTCATATGCTCTCTATCTGTATCTGTCTTAGGCGATTGCTCCTCAGATAACTTGAACTGACTTCCAAGGGGTGTGCTAATAAATTTAGCATTTTGCATGTTGAACCTCTGAAGTACCTTCTCAATGTATTCAGCTTGGCTCAATCTCAATGTCCCTTCAGATTCATCCATACTGATTCGCATCCCTAGAATCTGCTTCGCTGCACCCAGATCCTTCATTACAAATTCCTTTGCTAGCTGATTCGCATCCCTAGAATCTGCTTCGCTGCACCCAGATCCTTCATTACAAATTCCTTTGCTAGCTGCCTATTTAAACTGTTTATCTTTTCTAAACACGGTCCTGCTACCAACATGTCATCAACATATAATAACAAAATAATAAAGCTGGACTCGAACCTTTTGAAATAACAATAATGATCCGAATTGCATCTTCTATAGCCATTGTTCTGCATGAAGTTATCAAACTTCTTATACCACTGTCTCGGAGCCTGTTTCAAACCATATAAGCTCTTCTTGAGCTTACACACCATCTCTTCCTTTCCTTCTTCAATGAAGCCAACAGGTTGCTTCATGTAGATTTTTTCATCCAAGTCACCATGAAGAAAGGCAGTCTTCACATCTAACTGCTCAAAGAAGAGGTCTTCTACAGCTACCAAACTCAACACCACTCTGATGGTTGTGAGTTTCACAACAGAGGAAAATATCTCCGTGTAGTTCACTCCTTCCCGCTGTTGAAACCCTTTCACTACTAATCTGGCATTGAATCTCTTGCTTCCATCACTCTTCTGCTTGACCCGGTAGACCCATTTATTATGCAAGGCTTTCTTCTGTGCAAGTAGCTGGGCTAACTCCCATGTCTCATTAGTGAGTAGAGAATCCATCTTCTCCTGCATCACATGCTCCCACTGCTGAGATTCACTCACTCGCACTGCCTCTTCATAACACTCCGACTCTCCACTATCTGTTAAGAGTAGATAATCAAGTGACAATAGGTATTTGGGATTTGGTTTGGGTACCCTAGATAACCTCCTAGGCTCCACGCCCTGGGTAGTAGCTTCTGCACCTACGGTCAGAACTAACATCGTCGCCCCCATCTGGAAGTTCCTCCAAATCCATGTACTCGGATCCACCTGTATCCGTAGTGCTGCTCCCACTGCTTTGGCTATCCTTGGTATTATCCCTGTCCTTGTACATCACCTCTTCATTGAATATCACATCCCGGCTCCTAATGATCTTCCTGTTCTTCTCATCCCAAAGGGGATACCCGAACTCATCAATGCCGTATCCAATGAATGTGCACTTCTGTGACTTAGCTTCTAGCTTGTTCCTGACATGGTCACTGATATGAACATAAGCCACGCAACCAAATACCCGCAAGTGTGAGAGATTTATCTTCTTTCCACTCCAAACCTCCTCTAGAATCCCAAAATCTAATGGAACTGATGGCCCGTGATTAATAAGGTATGTTGCCGTATGTACCGCATCCGCCCAAAATGTCTTAGGCAGACCTGCATGTAATCGCATGCTCCGCGCACGCTCTGTCAAGGTCCTGTTCATCCTCTCTGCAATGCCGTTCTACTGCGGCGTCTCTGGAGTAGTCCTCTCTAAGCGAATCT